AGAGAGAGCGAGCGTGAGTGAGATGGAAAACAAAAAGAGTAAAAGAGTGCCAGCGAGAGACAGAGTGAGAGAGAGAAGCAGAGAGGACAGAGACAAACAGAGACATACACACACATACTCATCAACCCTGAGAGTACAGGAGCAGCAGCTCAGCCAATCAGCTCTGACTTCACACGGGCGTGTCCTTGTTTTTTATTCCCCCCCCCCCTTTTGGTGCACAGGATGCACGTGCACATGAACTGGCATGGGCACGTGCACGTGGGAGGAGGAAGTGCACTGAGGAGTGTTTTCCCCAGTCTTATTTATATCACAGTGAGGCGTTTAAGGACAAGGATTCAGAAAACACTCATTGACTTGTAGTCATGTGAGAGAAAACACCCTACTGCCACCATGTGATGTCAGACATCAGCCGTCTCACAGGCAGAGAGGTCAGGGGTTCGATTCCAGTTTAGGTTAGGGTGGAAGTGGGGTCGGACCCTCAGCGATGACTGACTAACTTTATATTATTGTATATATCAGATTTGAGTTTAGGATTTTTATTCAACCTAAGCCCAAGTCATTTTTGTTAGCTTAGCTGAGTTGTGTCTTCTAACCTCAGGCAGGGAATGGACTCCAGTCAGGATGAGATCGGAGCCTCTGCCATCCTGGGGGCTCAGCTGGATGAAGAACTCGGTGGAGGACCTGTTCAGGTTCAACATGCTCCTCCCTTTACTCTTCCTCTCCTCTTCTCCTCCTTTGTTGCCATGAACGTGCTCTCCTTTGTTAAACCATTTTGTTCATTCCTCTGGTTGAATTCAGCACACTCACTTCCTGTCTGACCTCTCACCTCCTCCTCCTCCTCACTCTTCACTGCTCCTTCTCCTGCTTTGCTCCTCCTCTCTGGTTCCCTATCCTCTCTGTGTCTTCAGGTTGTCGGTGCTCCTATAACCACTCAGGTATTTCTCCCCCATTTCCTGCTCCTCATCCTCACATCCACCGTGTGTTTTCTCCACAGTCAGAGATGAAGAGCAGTCATGTCCATCTCTGCTCCAGAGTCAGAAACAAACCATGAGATGTGTTTGAATCATGTCCAGGTCACATGATGTTGTTCACTCAGCTTGGTTTGCTCCAACACTGACCTTTAGTTCTCTCTCTTTTCCCACAGTGAAGGAGAGAAGTAAATGTTGAAATTAAAAGTCATTTCACATGTTCTGCACCTGGTTTGGGGACTGCCCCCTACCTTTAGACCCACTGCTTTAGCTAATGTTTAGTAAATTCATCTTTTACTATCTCCTCCAGAACTCTTAGGTAGAGATGAGCCTAATGTGTCCTGTTTTGGGACAGGAAAGTCCCTCTGTTCTACAGCTGGACATTTGACACTTAAGTTCACTGGAGTCATTTAAAAATTCAAGTAAAGAATGTCCTGGACAAATCCAGGGATTTCAAGGCCCCTACACTCCTTATAGTTTCTGACCCTGGTAAAGAAACGATGATGATCAGTTATCAGTCAAAGTCATTTGTCCTCATCCAGGTTTTTCCTCACTGCATGTGTGTCTTCCACTGGTTTTCATCTCATCGTGTCTGTGTTGACGCTGCATGACTGTGTGTGTGTGTGTCTGTGTGTGTGTGTTTGTCTTTGTACACTCAGAGACATTCACATTCATTCGTGGATAATTACCAGGTTATAAACATTTTATAAACGGTTCTTCTGATCCTTCTCTCTAACACACTCACGTCCCAGACACTGAGCTCATGACAACCTTTCCTGCTAACATTCACTGTAAAGCTGCCAGACTTTGATCAGCTGTTTACACTGACAGTTCACAGAAAAACGGTGTGGCATAGCCTCCCTCACCCCACCCCTTATCCAATAAGAACTACTCGTTACCCAGGTGTCACCTCTTCTACACCTAAGTCCACAGAGAAAATCAGTGATTAAAGGTTTGCAGACCAAAGTCTGTAACAGACCGACACAGGAGCTGTTGGTCCACTGCTGCCTCCTGTGGTCAGTTTGTGCCACTGTGGTACATATAAACGAAATATTTCAAATAGTGAAGTCATAAAAAACACAGGTGAACTGTGTGAACTGTGTGATTGAGGCCGCAGTGGATCATCAACGGCTGTGTTTGAGCTTAAATCGATGATTTTCTCCATGAGGTTTGGTTTAGGAGCAGGTGGTTTGCTGCAGCATAAACATTTATGGTAAAAACTTCAGACCGTAAAAAAACAAAACTTCATTCTGTGGCACAGACAATATGTCTCAGCCAAATGCTGCCACCTGAAGGCTACTTTGAGGATTGCAGCATATATTTTGGATTATATAAGACTAGGATGAAGTCACAAAAACATCAAATAAAATATGTATTCCATAAGAATGGAAATGTCTTTCTCTAAGACTTGTTTCATCTGAAAAATTCCAGAAGTTTCCAGATCAGTTTTTCACAGGAATCAGTGATTTCATGGCCATGACTGTATGTTGTGTTAAACATTTAGTGTCACACTGTGTGAAAGCATGACGTGTGTGTGTGTTTGTTGTTAACGTTGTTGTGTTGCTGTGGTCCTACTAGGTGAGGGTGGTGCAGGGTAAAGAACCAGCTCACCTCATGAGTCTCTTCGGAGGACGACCCATGGTGGTCTACAGGGGCGGGACGTCCAGAGACGGAGGACAGTCCGCTCCTGCAGAAAACAGACTCTTCCAGGTCCGCTCCAACTCTACAGGACACACCAGAGCTGTGGAGGTGAGAGAAACATCAGACGTTCAGAATGTTCTACTGCACCGACGGTTCAGAACAGTACTTTCTGAACGGTGATACAGTCTAAACAGCTGCTGTTCTGTGATCCGTCTGTTTTTCAAGGTGGACGCCGTGGCCCCTAACCTGAACTCTAACGACGTCTTCGTCCTGGTGACTCCTGGAGACTCCTTCATGTGGATGGGTGTTGGAGCCAGTGACGCAGAGAAGCAGGGAGCTCAGCAGCTGTGTGGAATTCTAGGAGTCACAGCATCTGAACTGTCTGAGGGCGGAGAGACTGGTGAGTACCTGGAGGTGAGATGGTCAGAGGGTGGCGCTGCAGAGGAACCTTGAAGATAAAAAAAGAGTGATGTGTTTGGACCGTTCACAGATCAGTTCTGGGAGATCCTCGGGGGAAAGACCAAGTACAGAACTTCCACCAGACTGAAGGACAAGATGGACACTCACCCACCACGACTGTTTGCCTGCTCCAACAAGACTGGAAACTTCATCGTAAGTACCAGGTTCCTGTGGCTCTGACACACAGAGACTATTAATGTCTGAAGGTAAACAACGACTGTTCTTTGTCTCTCAGATCGAGGAGGTTCCAGGAGAAATGACCCAGGATGACCTAGCAACTGATGATGTCATGATCCTGGACACCTGGGAGCAGGTACTGGAACCAACATCAACATCACCAGACTAAATGCTATTTAAAAAAAAGAACTTGTTTTCAATCCCATCTTTGTGTCGTCAGGTCTTTGTCTGGATCGGAAATGAAGCTCAGGAGGAAGAGAAGGCCGAGGCCATGACGTCAGGTGAGTCCAGACTGACAGGTTTGGCGGGTTTTTAATGGCCAATAAAATACTGGGGATCCCAGACTTCAGGCTCATTCATATTCCAAAATCAAGCCCAAACAAGGAACCTTTGGACCACCCTCTGTGTTGTTATCTGTAGTTCGGTTTGTTTACTGAGAGCTTGTGGATCGCACCTCAACACAGAATATAGAGCAGTACCAGCAGAAATGATGGGGGCAGTGTTGCACAGAAAAACTAATGAGGGGTAAGAAAGGAACAGTGAAGAAGATAACAACAGAATAACATTAGAAATGGTGGAACTCTTTGTGTGAATGTGTTCACAACTGCCATCGGTCAAAAAGTCTTTAGTGCGCCCCCGTCTTCACTGTTTGGATTGGTGTGTGTTGTATGACTGGATGGTTGGAGTATTTTGTGGTTGGATGATTGATTTGACGCCTTTGATTCTATTACATTCTTTCCGATGTGGTTCTAAAACGATTTATATATTTATTTCGGCATTCTTCAGCTGTTCGTTACATCGAGACCGACCCGGCCAACAGAGATCGCAGAACACCCATCGTCCAGATCAAGCAGAGCTTCGAACCTCCGACCTTCACTGGCTGGTTCCTGGGCTGGGACTACGACTACTGGACCAGTGACCCACTGGAGAGGGCCATGGCTGAACTGGCTCTGTGAACCAGAACCAAGACCAGAACCAGAATCTTCATCTTCCCTGCTGCTTCTCCACCTTCCACTCTACTGACTTCTGCAGATCCAATAAAAAGCTTGTCCAACTTTTCTGATGTCGATGCTTAGAAAAAAGGGATTCAGGTCCAAAAGGCTGTGTTTGAACCTACTTCCTGTCACGGGCTGCAGTGACACAAACACTTCCTGAAGCTTTTGCACTAAATTATCCTGTACGACTGTTCTTCATTCGTTTTATATTTTAACAGACAAACCTGGTTACCAGTGATGTCACCGTGTTAAAACATTCACAATCCAATTTTAAATCCATTCAGTTGGTGCCTTAAAGTCACTTCCTGTGGTTCAGTGTTTCTGACCAACAGTTCCTGATCCTTTAAGATGTGATACCCATTATTTTAGAAGCAGGTTTGATGGAACCCATTTGTATTTCAGTTGGACAAAATCAGAGACACATTTTTCTTAAATGCTTGGATGAGTTGATGACTTCTTAGCTTCAATGGGATTTGGGCCACATTCTGTCTCCTTTGATTGGACCAGAGGTGGGCCACATCCTGTCTTCCCTGCTTTGATGAGACAGCTTGTATTCTTTCTTCTAAGCATCAGTTAAATGTGTGCTGAACTGAACTTCTGCAGAATATTCTTGTAGTACTTGCTGAGGAGACAGAGTACTGATGGTTCTATCAGGGTCACGAGCCATCATTTAGGAACCGCTGCTCTGGTTCACACTTTAACAGGTACTGTTTTGGTGTTAAGACTGTTTTCTATGGCTGTGATGCTTCACAGACTCCTGTTGCCACAGTAACGTGTATTTATTTTTCCAATTTGTTTTTCTTTTTTTTTTAAGTTTTCACAGGAAACTGAGGCTCTGCTGATTTTTCATTTATATCTCGGCTGTTTTTCACCCTCGGCGTCAAAGTCGATTCAATAAAAACCCCAACACAAAAGGCTGTTCTATTGGAGCTCTGATTTTCTAAGAAAACATATCTAACCCATAGAGACTGAAATTGAATAAAATCTTTATTGAAAGCTTTTTTTTTACTTTCAGTGTAACATACGTCGAACACCAGCACAGAGTACAAAAAAAGTAGAACTACAGAGACAGAAGACCTCAAACATTGTTAAAGGGTGATGTTTTTCTCTTTAGACTAAAGTGAGGAGAGAGGCAGCTCCTCTGTGGAACTTCAACTCCTCTTTCTGTAACAGCATCACCCACAGTTGAACTGTTTGAACAGAAGGAAGTGACCAGTGGAAAAAAAGCTAAGGTTTAACAGAAAAAGCTCAACATAAGCAGAGAACCTAGAACAAACGTGGAACTTTCAATCTATTTGAAATATTCTACAAATGACAGAAGGTTTTTTTTAGTCAAGGCTTTAGGGCAGGGGTGGCAAAGTGTTCCAGAAAGGAACAGTTTGTGGCTGCAGGTTTTGTGTCTTACCAAGCAGCAGCACACCTGACTTGGCTCTTTTAATCAACTGGTCTGAATCTCCAGACAGCTGATTGGTCAGTCACTGTGCTCTGGAACCTGCAGCCACAGTGGCCCTTTGTGGAACACTTTGCCACCCCTGCTTTAGGGTGACTCCATCACTTTAACCAATGAAAGGTTGGAGTGTGGGCGTGGTCTGACTCCAACACTTTGATCCTATTCTCTAAATTTGGAACAAAAATCTACACGCCATATAAATATATATGGACATATATTTATTAAGGGTGTAACGGTACGAAAGACCACGGTTGGTTGTACCTCGGTACTGGCATAATAGTTTGATACTTTCTGGTACGAAACGTGCAAAACGCTACACACATATAAGAAGTATCTATATACATATATATATGTATACAAATATATATGTATGTGTATACTTGCAAACACTGTATCGTTACAGCTCTAAAATATATGTAGATATATAACAATATATATCATATATATGTGACACACAAACAGTTAGAATATATTAATATTATACTCTCTTATACTACTAAAGCAGACACAGCGTAGAGCAGATACTACAATTCATACTTGCTGAGTATTTGACCTTTAGAATGATAATTACTGATAAAAATACAAAAAGATAAACTCACAGGATTTGAGTTTTTACCTGCATAGAAGTGAGAGATAAGACGGTTGACCAGGGGGCGACAGGATGTGTTAAGGCCTCTGGGTAAAAGTTTGGAGACAGAGAAACAGACAAAAGAGCTGGAGATGCTGACTGGACAACTGTCAGGACAAACACAGAACAGACGTCGTCCTGTTTCCAGGTTTCAGGTTTCTAAAGTCAAGGAGAGGATTTATTTTTGTGTAAATGGTGAATGAACTTTCTCCCCAGTGCTGAGCTGGTTCTGTAGCTGCTCAGACCTTCAGTGCAAACGTGTGATGGACCAGGGAACATCAGAGGAGGAGTCAGAGGGTTTGGCAGTGAAATGATGAGTGTTGGTGTTGGCAGTGGTTTAAGCAGCAGGTGACAGAACATGTGAGTGAGTTGGTCTGTGCGTGTACAGCTGTCAGGGTTTGTGTGACGTACTGATGATGATGGTGATGATGATGATGGTGATGGGATGGTCTCAGGTTTCAAGGATTAAGGCTGAAGCACCTGCTACAGAGCGACTTAGAATGCATTGTTTGGCATCTGACAGATATTTGACACTAGTCAAATCTGACTGACAACGGTTTCTTCACAAACTGTGGAGCTTATCAAACACAGTCAGACCTGATTACCATACTGTAACAGAACTTCTATAATAACACACAAAAAGAACCTGGTGGCTTGTCAGTGTGGGGCTCCCTCTGCTGGTCAGAATTAGGAACATCTAAACTACAGTTCATCTAATGAATGCTACTCTGACCATGGGGCCAACGACCCACATGACCATTTAACGGTCATATTGTTTAGGCCCATGGCCACTTTTTTCAACAACACACCCCCCCTCCCCTGGGGTGGATAGATAAATACCTGGAAACTCCCCACCTGGACAGTAGAACTGAAGAAGCCTCTTGGATGAGAGGAGAAATGTCTTCAATTTACTTGAGGTGGGTCCAGTTGTCTACTTTAAAACTGCTTTGGAGATTATTATGATGACCTGGATGACTGAGAATATCAACAAGTATACGCTGAGCTGTTCTTTGGTTTCTTCAATTAAACTGCAGTCATTTTACTGGCTCCATTTTTACTCTCTGAGAAGTTAAAGTTAACCTTAAAAAAATAAAATAAAAACATCTGTTTGTTCTTCCAACACAGGCAGCAGAGAGTGAAGTCCAACCCCTCATCCAATCAGGCGGAGCTAAATCTTTTAGTCCAGTTGTTACTGAATCCTTTAAAACATTATCTCTGACCTGGAAGCAAACCCTAAACTAACCATGAGTAAGTGAGAGAAGAGTGAAGGCTCTGTGGTGGATGGTCAGATTAAACAGGCAATTCAAGCATGTAGAGAAATGTCATTCTTCAAAGTTCAAATTAAAATGTACGCAGTGACCACAGGGTCACACGTGTGTGTGTGTGTGTGTGTGTGTGTAACAGGCTATAAGTGTGTGTCAGTGTGGACAGATCCTACACAGGCTCTTCTAGGCTGCGTTGAATCCCCGCATCATCTCCAGCGGCAGCGGGAAGATGATGGTGGAGTTCTTCTCAGCAGCGATGGTGTTGAGGGTCTGAAGGTAACGCAGCTGCAGGGCAGACGGAGACTCGGCGATGACCAGCGATGCCTCCTTCAGAGCACGAGAGGCGTTCATCTCTCCCTCTGCTGCGATCACCTGAAGGAGGACATCAGGAGGAGGGTTAGAACTAGACAGGGATACAATACACAACTCACAATAGGAAGAAATGAAAACAACTGGAAAGAGTTCCTTTCTTTACAGAAAAACTATAAAACACTGTTTGTGTCTGTGGAAGAAGTTCTTCCCACAGTATGTTTGAACCTGAATGTCACTTAGGCTGCATAAGGACCTGACGTCACTGGTTATTAGTGGGTCATAACCAATGTTTTTGGACGCTTTCCGCAAACTACCATACTAGAGTGTGTAGTCTCATGGTATGACCAGTGACCTTTTCATATATCACAGCCTACTCCTTATACCTTGAAGTACAATTAACTAATGCAAAATGTCACACATTTGTATTGGTTTTTACTGATTCACATTGCATTGTTACATCCCCAGAACTAGACATTAAACCTGTAAAAATGACCAAAAAACGAATGACAAAATGATGATGATGTTGACCCAGAGAAGTGGTTCCCAAACAGGGGTGTGGCTCCATCTATGGCACAAGCAGCTATTGCAGCTGCAGTGCAAACAAACTTACATTTTAATAACTGTTTAATTGTACCATAGTGGAAAACCTTGATTTTATTTATTTGTTTCACAAGTTAAGTAGGAATGACTTTCAATGTTGAGCAGAGGGGAGCTGCAGATTAGGTTTGGGAACCACTAGACTACATTTAAAAAACAAAATCCTCCCTTTTTATATTTAAGACCTAAACTCACTCATCAGTGACTTGGAATTAAGTAAACCAACAACCCCTCTGATCAGTGTCAGTGACGCTACCACCTGACCCCGCCCCCCCAAGTCTTCACAGCCTCACCTTAGCTCTGGCCTCACGGCTGGCCTCGGCCTCAGCAGCCATGGCCCTCTGCAGCTGGAGAGGTAGCTTCACATCTTTGATCTCCACCCGCTCCACCTTGATGCCCCAGTCGTCTGTGGCATCGTCCAGGGTGGACTGATGGAGCAGAGGCAAACACTCAACATCCACCAGGACATTTACATTCACAGAAAACACTCCGACAACACCTGTGGGTTTTCAATAACTGATCCGTCTGTTGTGTTTATTAATGACCAGCAGATGGAGCTGTGACTGTGGGACATTTTTTTCTGGGGGCTCTAAACCCCAACCTTTAAAAAGAGGATGGAGTTCCTGGATGTGTTGACGAAATAAAAATAATAAAACAAGTTGATTTATTTTATTTAATTAAAAAATTTAGCAACTAATTTATTTTCAATATGCACAACTTTTACCTGTACTCTCTTTGAACAGTATTGATTATGTTTCAATACTGTGTCTGTCCTGTACAATAAAGACTTCTCTCGTAGAGATAAATATGACCTGGAACAGACTTAGTTAACCACCGTGTGGTGCTGTGTTCTCCACTGTCATTATTTCCCACCACAAAGTGTACCTGCATGCTGTGTGCGATCTCCTCACGGTCAGACAGGATCTGCGACAGGTTCTTGGTTCCCAGGACGTTCCTCAGCGTGGTCTGGGCGAGCAGTCGAGTGGCAGCGTCGGCGTTGGTGATGTTGGCCACGGCCAGTGTGGCGTTCTGGACCCGGTAATAAACCACTCCGTCCACACTCACCGTCACAGAGTCTTTGGTTAAAACCTGACAGGGAGACAGAGTGGACAGAGGGAGACAAAGCAGGAAAGACAGGAAGACACAGTTGAAAACAGCAGTTAGTTCACAGACATTAACCAAAAACAGATGCCTTTTAATCATGCGCAAGGACTGCTGATTCAAATTAGCCTTGTAGCTAACTTGGGCACATTTACTTGTTTTGTTTTACAATGTTTTATTCGTGTACACTGTTGTTTTTCAAATAAACCAATAAAAAATGTTTAATAAGATGAAAACAGAGCTGCGTCAAAAAATGAAAAGAAGTGTGTTTCAGGTTAAACACTGGTGGAATAGGTGAGACCAAAAAATTAAAACAATATATATATAATTATTTAATTCCAATTCTAAAAGTTAATCTAAACATCCAGTGTAGAAGAGAATTCTGGAGTCTTTGGACGTTACACCAGCTCCTCCGGCCCACACTGCAAGAAACTAACTCAGAAAAATGTAACAAAAATATACAAACTAACTCAGAAAAATGTAACAAAAAATATACTTACTATATTACTATATTAATTCAACATTTTTGCAAATCACTGACTCCTGTTTCCTGTTTCCATTTCTGTTGGCAGTGGTTACATTTTCCCTCGTGCACTAACATTTTAAAACCAGCTAAAACACATGAAAATACTGTATGACAAAAGGTTTCACCTCCTGTGGTGGGATGTCAAAGGTGATGGTCCTCATGTCCACATTGATGAAGCTGTCGGTGCAGGGCAGGATGAAGAAGAGTCCTGTAGGAAGAAAAGCATTGACTGTCAGAATGTGTTACTGTTCTGTGTTAAACAGAACCATATTGTTTATAAAACCACGTATGTTGATTATCATGAACATTAACGATAATACAGTAATTACTGCAGTGTTACCATGTATTCTGACAGCTGTTTAGGTGGATTAAACTCTACCATTCACCCACAGAGACACAACACCATAGACCAGACTATGAGGGTAGTGGGGGCAAGGGCAGAGGGGGGAGGAGGGTATCATGTGGGAGCAGCGTCTGCAGCAGCCTTGACTCCTGCAGCTTCTGAGGAACGTACGTTTTGTGGCTCGGCGCTATAATTAACACAGACCCCTCATAAAAAAAGTGACTCCTCCGACTCTGAGGACTCACATTTCCCTCTAATGACACGACATCGCCTCTGCTTTCTTTTACATCCACACCCTAAATATAAGATAAAAAGACAGAAAAGAACTGTGGGATGTTTGCCAGTCAGCCCACACAGGAGTCAGATCAGTTAGAATAAAGAGGACAGGCCGTCTGGACCGGATCAGGCAAGAACTTCTGGACTTATTCTGAGACCTGGTGTTCTGGTTCATCTAACCAAGATTTTTTTGTTCTGAGCAGCAACACTAGCAGCAGCAGTACCAGCGACCACAACCACAGAAAGGGAGGGAAATAAAGGAAACCGCAGTGTTTTTTACGTGTTAGCAGTGAAGCCTCTTTCACTGCAGGACAAAAAACAATTGAGGTTTGATTTACTGGAATGTGTTTAGCACAACTTTACTCTAGGGTGAAATGACTCACATGTTCTCTGATATCATAAAGTAGTTATGTTCATATTTGACTGTAGATTGCAGCAGCTGTTTAATGGACAGCTCAGAGTTTGAAGCCTTTAAACCAGAGTCAGACTGTTTTGATCCTTTTGAAAATGCATGACTAGAAAGAAGGTCTGAGTGAAAACTGTGGTTCAGGCACAGAGGAAACGATGGAAACCAGACTGGATTAATTCCATTATGTTCCCACCACGGCTATGGGCTGGGCCCAGATAATAACTGTTATGCAGTACTACATGTTTGCTGGTCTCTGTTTATACTGGAGTCAATGTCAAACACAAACAAATGATATTTATAACTGAGGATTAAAATAAAACATGGAAAAACTGGCCAAAGGTCAGCATCAAGGATGGCTAAAGACAGCTGAGAGTAGAGGCAAAAACGGCTAAACTACACTTGAAAGTTAGCTGCAAATGATTGACTACAGGCTATAGAGGCAGTGGTGGCTTAGTGGTTTAGGAAGTGGAAGTTACCACTGAGGTGCTCTGAGCAAGGCACCGTTCCCACACAGCTCCCCAGGTGCTTAAAGCTGCCCACTGTTCACTTATATCTACATATGACAAACTATAGATATAATCAGCTAAATGTTAGCCAAGACAAAGGCTACAAATCAACCCAGGAATAGCATAAAATTAACTTTAAAAAGTTTGCTGAATAGCTACAAAAACAGACGATGTGGGTGAAGAACATGTAGGTGTGTGTCTTGGGTGTGGAATGTTCTGTGACCTGGTCCTTTGGCCCCTCCCTTCAGAATCCGACCCAGACGAAAGATGATGGCTCGTTCGTACTCCTTCACGATCTGAGTGCAGAGACAAAAAACAAATCCTTTTCCCCTTGTTTCTCCCCAAGTGAACATTTTGTTTTTATGAAGTTATTGTTAAGCAGACTCCACGGAACCAACAGTCACATGACACCAATCAAACGTCTGACCTTTATACACATCCATATGGAGAGAGGCAGCGTGATGAGCATCAGAATGACGGAGAAGATGACCAGGATCCAGGCACACAGACCGTTGTCAGTTTCTCCTGACTCCAGGGCTGGAGAAGAAAAAGATACAAAGACACAATCCTGAGCTGGAATCTTCCATCTGACGACAGTCTCTGATTATTTTTAGCTTTTTAAATAAAGGATCATATGATCCTAAAACTACTTGAGGAGCAGATCAAGTCATTGCATATTAACAAATGGGTTGGAACCATTGAAAACTATAGTACCATTTTTTTTCTTTTTGGCTCTAGAACAGTCCTAACACTTCCATTTAACTCCTTAAATGCCTTTGGAATGACGCAATCTTGGTACTTTTTCAGGTTCTTGATACCATTAGCTGCTCTGGAACCTAAGGCCCTAGCTGTCACTGTTTAAGCTTCTGGTACTGTTTCTTACAATAGAAACACACGATTCCAGTTACTGACATGGGTTTCTGGTACTTCCTGTGATTGAAGTGCACAAAATGCTTGCTTTGGTCCTTTGTTCCTGGTACTGATTACCACAGTTAAATCATCACTGCTCCATGTTTCTGTCTTGCTCCAGTCCTAATATTCCTTATCTAGTACTGACCACCTAAACCGTTAAAGAGGTTTTTAAAAGCAGGAAGTCTCAGCATTGACTCGTCTGATCCAGTCATGCAGTGCCACCAGTGAACACACACCTCCAGCCACTGCATCACACACATCCACAGCTGGGCTGAAACATGAGTGAATGAGGTTTTACATCAAATGACTAATGGATTAATGGAGAAGACCCACTATAACCCATGCTGACAACTGGTATTAGTTTCAGCTTTTAACTCAAACCCTTCCCTGGAAGAGGTCCACACCTTTGTCAGCACGTGTACAAAGTAGGCTGGAACCTACAAACGTAGCGGTCATCACATGACCATTAAACTGCTGGTGATTATACAAACAGATGCTACTAACCACCAGTGTTTACATGTTAAACCGAGGTTTGTCGCCACGTAAAAAACGAAGTAACACAAACCGGGGTCAGTTTTTCAAACATGTCAGTTCAGGCGCCCCTTAGTTTGAGAATACAGCCACAGAGAAACATGTGTGTAGATGTTTAACTTTTAACAAGCTCACTTTTATTCTGAGCGGTATGGAGTAGAGATAGTTTGTAGTGTTAAGGTGAAAAGGAGTAAATACTGTGTATTTCAAAACTTCATTGGTTGATCAATTAATCAATTGATCAATTGTCAGTGTACATTTACAGACACATATAGGAACAACCACATTTGTCCTCTGCAGCCAACCAATTAACCTATTCCTGATGAGCAGTGAGGGAGCTCCAAACCTCAGTCAATCAATGCACAGATCGATCGACGATCAGCACATCACCCATCAATGATGATTGGACTAGACTAGAGAGGCCAGGCCAAACCATGGCCCGGGGGCCGGATGTGGCCTGCTCAGCTTCTTAATCCGGCCAGTCAAATCTTTTCAAATTATATACAGTAATTTATTTATATTATCATTATACTTCTGCCTTTTCCCTGCAATACCCACGTTTCCCCAATAGATGGTGTAGAAAATGATAAAGCATTTTAGCCTTTATGCATGACTTTTACATGTCATTTATCTTAGTTCATAAGAATGCTCCATCTTTCTGCTCCTGACCCGGCCCCCTGATCAATTTTAGGACAATTGTGGCCCGCGAGTCAAAAAGTTTGGACTACACCAATGATTAGTCCCTGCACTGGTTGTTGCATTAACACAGTCACTCAAAGGAAAGCCACATCCTGCGCCATATATAATTTCAACGCCCAGCAAATATTTGTGTAGGCCACAACTGCAGATCAGTTTACTGCAGGCAGTAGGTCTACAACTGACAGGCTGACTGACACCACAGACAAATGTCAGACTGGTGATCAATTAATGCTGTTTTGGGCACGGCTTTACTGAGGTTTCAGAAATAATTCCTTCATCTTGACGATTAAATACAGGTGTTTGTTTTTATGTTCCAGCAACATACAGAAATAATTCTATGGTCATACATCTGGGGACGTTTATTTATATTAGATAGATTAATCCCCATTAATCAAAATCAGGATTATTTAAGATTAATCGTGACGAATCCACAGCTACTCTGTGATTAATCAAAATTAAATGGTTTGACAGCCCTAATAGATTTATAAACTTGGAAACCTGGAGAAATGCCAGTATGATTCGACAGACAACCTTTTCCCAAATCTGCCCGCCCCTTCCTCCTCCTCCTCCTCCTCCTCCCCGGCTACTCTCTAATCACGTTTATATAATTTACACCGCCACAAACACAAGAAAAAACATTAAACTGACTGTAAAACATGAGCTATTTACAAACTGGATAATCGACAAATCGACATTTCAAATATTTGACTCCACTGTGACCATTTACGCATGGAAACCGCAACGAGGGTTTATTAGCATTAGCATTGGCCTGTATTGGGGTGGGATTATAAACGACTGCAGGTTTTTTTTTTTAATGAAAAATGTTTTAGGTTTAACAAACAGTAAACAGCGGTCGGTGGTGACACTGTCATTTTGCATGTATTAAATAAATATTTATGGACTTTGTAAGAAATAATTTTGTTCGAAATTATTTAAGTCATCGCTAGAACGACGTAGTAACATTAACGTGATTCTTTTTTGTTTTGTTACCTGACTGACGCTCCCTTCTCCGGGCTTCCTTCATCGAATACCCTTCGTCGTCCATTGCAGCTTGAAACACGGCTGTAGCAGGAGTTTGTTTTAGTTTTTTGTTGGTTTTGTTTATGTTTACACACAGACCACCCTGCAGCTTCTGAGCTTCCCTCCCCTTACGCCCTCTCTGTTGACTCACAGGCTCTGCTCAAGTGGGCGTCGACGACAGCGGTTTTACTTGGCTGCCATTCAATTTTGGGTCTCTCTCCCCCTCTCTCTCTTTAGTAACACCCCCCACCCCACCCCACCCCCACCCCAACATACTTTCATTAACAACATTTGTTAATAACATTGACTTTATACTTTTAAGGAGCTCACCAATAATCAATAGTAACAAAAGCAGCTGATAATTATAGATATCTTTGGAAACAGGGGCGTGGCAGGAGGTGGGGTTAAAGGAAGAACAATGGCTGAAAGAATGGAAATAAATAAACAGATATAAATCGGAGCAATGAAAAAATAACTATAAATCATGTAGAAAAGGAATACAGTGGTGAAACATGCATCAATCAATCATCACCAGATACTGGGATAAAACAATGTTAAAAAACAAGGATTATGCTGATAGTGTTAATTCAATTTTAAGAAGTTGGTAAATGATAGAACAAATCCACAGGTGATACTGGGACAAAATAATAATAATAATAATGTGAAATAACTGGTCACATACACCGTTATATAGACTCTAGTGACCAGTGAATTATCGTTTTGTGCATGCTTCCCTTTTTTAAAACGTAGAAGAAGTATTAAAATAAATACAATAAAACTAACTGTGAGAGATGATTGATATGTTAGTACAGAGTTAATAGACTTCACTCAGGATACATACTGTTGTAAAACAGTAAGGATGGAGTTTGTTTGTTGAGTGATGAGTGTTTGCTCCTCTGGTCAAAGACAACAAAGACGGTGACGGGTGGAGCTAGGAAGAGTTAGCAAACTTTTCCACAGTTACTGATTGGATGTAATGTGAAAGATAGAACTCAAAAAAGATATTTTATGGATTTTAACTTTATCCAACGTCTGAGCCGTCGGCCTTCATTAACCTCCTCATTATGACTTGTACTAATAAAAAAGTCAGGTTTAAAATTAGACACACTTAAAAAAGTCTCTCCAACAGAAGTAAGGGTCTTTCTTTCTGCCGCGGCGCTGTGAGCTGGGGGTCGGTGATCGTTACTGGGCTCGGGTTCGCAATCACACATTCCAGCTCTGGAGGTCTTCGCCCACAGGAGTTGGTGGATGACCTCACAGATACCAGACAAAGCTGAGGGAATAAAAGACTCTGCTCTATGTCAGCTGGCAAATAAATTAGCCAGCACTTCATATTGGCTAATCTCAGCTGGCTATTTTTAAAATCCACGCTGTAGGATTAGTTAACAGCTGACAGACAGCCGCTGCCCAAATTAACTTTGGTTGTAATTCCACAGATAAATTCAGAATATGGAGCCAGGCCCACTCTTGAACCACGCTTTTAATCATGTACTGCAGGTGGGTCTTAGTGAGGCATCTGTCAATAATGAGTGAAATTGTTTAAAAAAATCTTATTAACACTTTATTAGAATAAGTTTGAAAGCACTGGTTATTTATACATCATTATAGACATGACATATATAGGACAGATGTTTGACAGATGATGGTCAAATGTCTCCAGTGGGACAACCCACAGACCACTGCTAACTCAAAGCTACATCTTTATTATGGCATCAATTATTATTCGCCATCTGTCCACTTAAAAAAAACAAAACAAACAAAAAAAAACTTTTGGCTAAGTTTGACACCACTAAGTTATGCTAACTGTCTTTCTTTCTTTGTAATCTTTCTTTGTAAAGTTAGCCAAGAATATTTTGGCTAACTTTTCCGAGAGAATCTTGGCTAACTTTTAAACAACGAAAAAATAGATTTCAGAAAAGTGCAGACATTACGAGTGGATTCTGCACATTTAAGTCTAAACAGATGCACATTATAAAGTAACGTTTGATCATTTTCAGTCACTCTCTGGACGGTGTCCTGTCATTTGTAGCTAAGCTAGCTTCTGTACTAGTCCAACGACATCAAACTTGTCTTCTTACATTAACAAAAATACATTTTTAAATAAATAGAAATGACTTAAAATGCGAGATATCTTTTATCTTGGAAAGGCCAAAGGTCGGGCCATGAACAGAAAGGACAAAGTATAAATAGCTTGGATTGTTGTTGCTTTTAATGTTGCTAAATTTTCCACTAAATTCTCGTACCTCCAACTAAATATTTAATCTCTGATATTTTTTCAGTGCCCAAGATCCAACCAAGTGTCACCTGATTATCTCAGTTTTTGGTAAATACTGCTTACTGATGGGGTTTACAGTGTCTCTAATCCTCTTTTAATGAGGCTGTTAGAAAATGCAGCGCCTCCTCCTGGATTAGTCACAGCACATTGACAAAGCACCATGCTGGGACCAGTGAACAGGATTGGCCGCTGTGGCCACTTAGGTCCAGAAAAGAGGACACGAAGCATGAAAAAAATAATTCCCTCCACCGCTCCACCCATCATCTCCCTGAGGAGGAGTGCACTTCATCCTCCTGCTTCCACTGAGACAATGAACCTCTGCTGGTTGGTTGACGTGAGGAGAAGACACAGCTCATGATTCCACCGTCTCAGGGCCTCACTCCCTTTTTTCACTGTCACTTAGTAGAAAACTGGATGCAGTGATTCTCGATTTCAGGCCAAAGGACACGTTACAGTCAGAATCTTCAGCTTTATTACACAAAGGTACACACTTAAAAGAATCGATCTATAAGTATGATTTATAGGTATTTAATTATCACGACCTGAAGTTTGAGACCATTTAAAAATGTGGAAACATGGAGGGAATCTGTGAAAATATCAAGGCACAGATGAGGAGTCAGTGTCGAAGAACATCATTAATACACACTCGTACACACATACTGTATACAGGACATTAGACAATCGTCCAATCCCAAACCTGTTGAGATATTGTGTTAAAAACTAAGGGGAAATAATAATGCAATTTTTGGTCAGCGAGATGAGGAGATAACAGTCAGGAAGAGCTGTGAGGTCATCACCCGTCCAGAATGATCCGTATCTCCTCCTCCTCCTCCTTCGCTTCTAAATTAGGGCAGTTATATGAAGGTTTGTAGAAGATGTTCTAATCCTTCCCTGGTTTCCCTTTTTAAACTCACACTTGTTAGGACACAGTGTGTGATTCTCCAGCGGTCACACTCCCTATTATCCACTCCTTTTACTAAGCCCTGCAGGAGACCTGGACCTCCTTATTATCTCCTCCTCATCTCTAACAACCACTCTGTCCCTCATGGGTTTTCCTCCATCCCTCCATCCGTCTCTGTCTTTCCCTGGACTAACAGCAGCTCAGCCTGGTACTGATGTGGATGGAGGTGAACCAAAGAATCAATTAATATGAAGGATAGTGAAGGATCACTGCAGTGTCGCTCTTTAACCAGGTGAGGTCATTAGAGGTCTCCACAGCTAAGCAGAAACACAAACTTAGCCACTACAACATTTGATAGGCTTTTAAAATTTAAATCTAATGTTGATATGAGCCATACTTCTGGCCACCCACGACCACCACACTCGACCACCACACCACACTAGAGCCGCCACTGGTCACTGGACACACGTCATCACGTGAATTCAAAGGGTAATTATGTGCAGCTCAAGCACTACAACACTAGGTGGCAGCATTTGCCTCCGAACCAGCAGCTCAGCGAGATGGAGCGGGTGTGTAGTCGGAGTCGGTCTCTGAGGAGGGGGCTCAGTTTACAGGATCATTGAAAAAACGTCAGCCTGTCAGAAAGTGTGTTTGCAGAAAGTCGAAATCACTGAGCTTCAGTTTCAATCATTCAGAGAAAAAACCTGCGCTGCCGCAGCCGCAGCCGCGGCCTCCAGACTGGGATTAAACTAAAGAGGAGAAGCGTTCACCTCAGATCATCGTTAACACTTGAACTCTTCATCATCATTAAAATTAAGCAGACAACAATGGAGGAGTGAATCACTAACGTATTTGTAGAGATGTTTATTTTCCTGAAGCTTCATAAATAAAAAAATGACTGAAGTTATTATTTTATTCACGCTTTTTTCCCCACAATGATCTGTTTTTTTATCTATTTAATATTTCATGTAAATATTATTATTAAAAATTAAACCATGCTATTTTTTTCATCTGTAGAAACAAGGTCAAAATATATCAGAATAATAAATATGACCCTGGACTGGAATCTAACTGATTTGGAATTCCTGTTTCAGTTATTAGACAAATGCTGTTTTTTTTTTTTTTTACCGCCGTGTGGTGTGAATTTAAATATTAAAAACGTGGAACAAGTGAAAAATGTCCATTTGTTATAACTCTCAGGGAGAAACCCCTCTTCTCCTCTTCCTCTCCAGGTTTGTGTGTGTGTTGTTTGTGTTGATTGGACGGCGTAGCTGCGTCTGTACGGTTGATGATGTCACGGTTCACTTTAGTCCCGCGACTGTTTTGTTCAGTCTGACACCAGATCAGTTTACAACAAAGATCAACGAGAACTGTGTCAAATAGGACAACATGAAAGAACCGAATATGAGCGGGAAAAAAAGAGAGTCTCATTTAAAGACGGTCGAACCCCTGGGTCAGTGGTATTTTATTTTCTATCATCTCCAGATAAACGTTGGCTACGATTCTACTACATTAAATTAAATATATATATAAACGACTTTTAGCATATTAAAGCTCTAATATTTCTGAGTTAATTCGTTGTTTTATAATTTTTTGTTAATTTTAATCTGTTTTATGCCATCTTTTTAAAAAAGACCAGGTTTAACCTAATTTTTTTTACATGTCAAAATACCCCTGATATTTCAAGGGTAAATTAAAGAAATTTGACCCGAACTCTTGATTGTTTTTAAAAATTCATTAATGAATAATGTGATAATAAAATAACATAAACTAATTACACCCCCATGATTTGAATTTAAATCCATCCACACATTGTTACAGGTCTACTGTCAGGTGTGACTCATGATGACTGACTGTGTGATTGAATAATTGAATTATTGAATATTACATATTATTAAAGGTTTGTCCAAACTTTTCCAAATTTTACGCTTTTTGGTCAGAAATATTGAGCTCACATTGATTTGACTGAAACTAAACTAAATTAA